ATATTCTAAGTCATTCAGTTTCAAAATACAAATATATATATAATTAACATTCTCAATCTTAATTGAAACTCAATTCAACTAACTAATATTTCTGTCATTGAGCTCTCGTAAGCTAAAAGAAATTCAGTTTTTAATTTTGCTAAACTACCCGGAGTCCAGCCTCATATCTTTGTGCAGCTCTCAAAAGTCTGACTTGGTCGGGTGCCAAGTGCTTGGAGGCTAAAATACGAGGTACTTCGCGTAGCTAATCCAGGCTCACTGCTAATATCAACTCATGTGTTATTGAGATAAAACTGCCTTTAATTCTTCATTTAGACAATTCTCATTTTGATTGGATTTCATTATTAAATTTGCTTTCTGTCGTTTAAGTCTATTGAAATAATTAAGATCTAGTAGATCTAGACTATCGCAGATTTCATTATTTTTAATTAAAATAATAAACCATTTTTAATAGAGTAGTTTAATTTGGATAGAACTGTCCAAGCAGCAAGGGATTTCAAATCAGTTCATGAATGAGTTCTGGGGTTACAAACACCGTAGAAGGGGGGAGCAAGGGATTTCGGGATTTACTCGAGTGTGGCAGATTAACAAAAAGAGGAATACCTTACACCCAATTGAGTACCTCCACCATACATGAGCCCTATATATAGGGGGAAGCGTCTAGTGCAGCCGATCAGATTAGGTAAAAAAAAGTGATGGCCAGAAATACTCAGGCGTGAAAGATTAAAGTAAATTGAGTCAATTACATACACATTAGAGTGACCTTAACATTTTATTTTTATTTTGAAGCAAACAATGGAAGAAATCTTCTGTGAATGTCTACATAACTTTTTGTGCCTTTATTTAAGTTTACAACTTTCACCTGTACTCGTAGGTCGGCCAAACGGTCCATAGATAATATTAGAGAAATATGTGTGTGGTCTCACGTGGGTGCCCTTGAGGAGACATGGTTACTTCCCCATGATATTCCGATGCTAGGAACAATAAGCCCTGACTTTGAATATACAGGTAAATCGGCTGTACATCACTGAGGGTCTAGTGAGTGGAAGACCTCATGCTTCGATCTGCAGCTCGATCTTCGAGTCGGTCCCAATTATTGTGGTTTGTAACACTCCGCGATTAGCGGCCATTACGGCAACGGCAGATGGCCGTACTGTTATTGTATTAAGTGTGCATATGCCTACATATCGTCCAGATAACCTACCGGTCTTTGCAGATGTGCTCAGTGAAATTAGTGCTATCATAGCGAGCTGAGACATTGAAAATGTCTTTATATTGGGGGATTTCAATGCTCACCCTCATGAATTGTTTTACAATGTGTTAGTTAAAGTTTTTTCCAACGCTGAAAGTGGTTACACCATATAACTATTATTTATTATATATCGTATTTATTATATATAATAATCCAAATATCGTATCATAGGCTCCCCTACTATTTAAATATTGTTGGGAATCCCTATTTTTCTCTGAAGTCTGTTAATATATTGGTAAGCACAGTCAGCAGTTACTCAGTGTAGACTTTAAATATTTTATACATTAAAACTAATATAAATATATAATACCCAAAATAAAACAGTTCCTTAGTTTTAATTATGTTCATTTTATTTTTTTATTCGCTTTTTGTTAAATAATGAATCAGTAATTTCTGGGTACCGTGTAGACTTGATTGCAGATAGTTACTCATCTCATCTCGAACATAGATTTCCAAAAACTCTGTAGCTTGTGTTTTTAATAAATATATTTTACAAGTATTATAGGTGTAATAAAACCCTGATGAAATAGAGTTAGGTATTTTTGTGTTACCTACTTGTGCGGTTTTTTAAATAGGCACATACCGAGTTATGAACTTGGTGTGTCATTTCAAGCCTGAAACACACTTTCCAATCTAATAGAAAATAAGTTTATAGGAATTGAGTTTCAAGGCTATCAGGCGCTGTCTGTGATGAATGTAGTCTTGATAGTAATACGATAAATAATAGATAAATGAAAGTTACTCCTGGCCTGTTAAAATTTAGGTTTTTTTAGTTTTTCTTCAGATTTCATTTCTATGTCGCCTTTTCAGATTATTTAGTTGGTCTAAATAGTGGATCAGTTTTGTGCTGTGGCATTAGCATCTTCTATATACAGACAACAATATACTTCAGTACGAATCTAATGAGGACACAACGAACTACAGAATAACCACTAATCCTGTATACAACTTCCCGTGGATGTGATACAGTAGGCATAATGACTTCGGATTGGATGATCCTCATCGGAATTATTTCATTTTTATGACAAACTCTTTTTCCGTACTGATTTTGAAAAAAAAAAAACATTTCAAGTTCCTGCGTTTCTTGCTCTAAAAATTAATTTCATCATTCATGTTATTGTGCTACTGAATGCGTGTTCTACGTCTCATGATTTATGATGCGAGTGACAAAGGGTTGCATACAAGATAAGAGTTACACAGACAAGTTACCATAGTTGGCCATTCAAACTAAGGTTCGAGCATTCAATGTCGACATTCGATGTCAAACATGAATTTAAGATATTCGAGACAGTATCTAATGGAACTGGAATGAAGTTGGGCGGAGTACATGAATACTACATTGTTAGCTCCTGATTTATTACCCTTTTATTAATGAACCAGGGTTTTGAAAACATCTTCGCAGTAACTCCTTCGGTTTAATATTTCCTTGTAGTAACATGCATTACTAATCAGTACAACAAAAACTTTTTTATTTCAATCTTTTTATACTGTAGACTGATCACACTTGGTGGAACTTTCTACACGTTATATTAAATTGTATTATACTATTCCACAATTTGACTCTTTAACAGTTTTGTGATTCTAATCTAATCTGATTTGTAATTCTTACATAAAAAGATGTAAATCTCATTCTTCCAAATTTTTAGGTGAAACTTATAAACTGGTATTGTACTTGAATTTGATATACGTACATTATAAGTACTATTTTTTTAAACTTTTAGAGTAATATTATGTTAAGTAGTTGTCATAAAATCGTTTGAAAATGCCGTGAGGCGAAACCGGTCAGGTTTAATAAAATAAATGTTATGGAATAGTAAAAGTGACTTCATTATTTATATTATATTTATTAAAATACTGGATGATGCAAAAATACTGGATGGATGAATTAAACCGTTAAATTATATTATTTAAAGATGTAGAGAAGGAAAAGGAAGAATTAGACGTTTTGCTGCGTTTCGAATTACGAACAAAAAGTGAGACAATTGGAATCTCTACATTTTTTAGGCTCCGTCCACTCGGCTCCCCTGCCTTAATACCCTGGGGGATTTATTACCGATACCCTATATCTTCTTCTTCTCATTACTTGCTCTCCTTTTCAATAGGAAAAGGGTACCTCCCCTACTACCAAAAAATATTTGTTATGGAAATTCTGCGATATATGTAGTGTGAAAGTTTTTTTTTAAATTGAGAAAGCGGGCAACCTTTTACTCAATTCAGTGACTAGTTTGCTAGTTTAAGTGTTATTTTTTTTATTGGAGTCAAGTACGTCTAAAAGCTATACTGAAAAATGTTGGCTTGAAAAATCTTGGTATAGAGGTATTAGATTTAGAAGGAAAAGTATTACCAAAGTAAGCTCTATTACTTAAAGCATAGTCGTCTTCCAACTTTTCGAATATGCTTACTTGGAAAATGTGCACGCAACATAATGCAAAATCCTTAGAAAAAAAAATTTACCTAATTTTTACTTCTTCTACTTCCTTCTTAATATCTGTGATGTTTTGATATATAGATATTCTAGGATACGTTCTAGATATCATAGGATACCTAGGATAAAGGACTAATTATAAATTGAATCAAGAGATTATGGCCTGCAACTAAGGAGTCACAAGCGCGTTGCCGGCCTTTTAGGATGGAGTACGCTCTTTTCTTGAAGGTTTGAAGGTCGTCCACAGATTGGTTGTGCGAGACAAAAAGTGTCTTGAAAGGTGCACAGTGGCGGAGCGCAGATTAGCTAAGTGATGGGGATGACACTTTTGCCGTGAGAAACGATGGCGGCAAGTTGAGGCCGGTACTAGTCCGAACAATTCCTCAGAGTACTCTCCATGATACGATTGAGAATGCAGAAGCCTGATGACAAACCAATCCTGAGCCTCCGGTAATCTTATTCATACTCTATGTGCCGAAACATGTCTCTCCCGTGGTTAGCACACACTGTGAACACGAATGAAAAAATTGAATTACAGTTGCATCTAAAAACAGATTGTAATTTTTCCACAGATTGTTGAAAAACCTTCTTCCTCCGAGCCTTTCTCCTAAACTTGGTCGGGATCCGCTTTAAGTCTATTACGAACTGGCTGAACTTCGATTTTTTACTCGGAGCGATTACCATCAGACTTCCACAACCCAAGTAGGCAATATCGAAGTTCTGTAGAAAGACTGTTGTAGAACTTTTAAGGGCTCCAACTACCCGTGATGATTGCCTCAGATAATAATATAATAATATATATCTCACACACTCACACACGGCCGTCTGATCCCAAACTAGACAGAGCCTGTACTAGATGTGTGTATGGCAACCGTTACCGACAACTTAACATGGTTTGAGAGGCACGGAGGGGTCTTAATGTGTTAAGAAAATGGTCTCCTATCTATAGACTGACCTGGCTAGGATTGCTCAACTTTACCATGTGTTAATGTACTCTGTTACTACTTAGCCACGAGCGCTACAGATTGTTGAAAAGTATACACAGATATAAACAATTACGTCACTTAATATAGTCATAATTATGACCACACATCGATATAACTCGATTAGTATCAAATAATCTTAATTTGCATGTTGTCAAACAGCTAAATCTAATTTCACTTTTATAATCATTATCTTTATTAATTCAGTCGTACACACCTTCTTACAAAGTGCGCCTGCGTGATGAATATAATATATATTAAAAATATGATGAAATTACATTTTTTATTTAGTATATTCGTTTTCGTTTGTGCTCAAGATGACAGATTCCCCTTGAATATTATGCACTACAATGATTTTCACGCCAGGTACGTACTAATATTGAAATTTTAACCGAGACATTATACCAATCTGGCTTAGAGGTGAACGTTTATCATAAAATCAATACAATTGAATCTCTAAATTATGTAGTTAAGCTTACAAGTCACAACTATAGATATACTATTGGTGTTTAGTTGGTGAAAAATAACTTAACTACTGTCTTAATTACTATCAAGATATTGATTCTTCTCAAATACGTTTATTTTCATTAAATGACTAGTGCCAACAAGGTGGCGGTAAGAAAATAGTGGTAGCACTCTTAATTTCTGCAGAAGACTCATTAAGTGCTGAAGCTAGTAATACAATCTCCTCCATTATACGTTGCCCTAACAGAAGCGCCTCTCTGAATCAAATATAGAAGGCTGCCAAGTATTCTGGGGTTCTCAGGTATTCTATTTTCAGGGTACACCTGGGGTTCTAGGAATAAGAGCGTCTTTATTATTTGTACTTGTGTATGTATATGTAGGCAAGTTTTTTGTAATACATGTTAATTTAATTTATTCATTCAATTAGTTTGAAATATACACGTGTCACACACAAATCTAAATTTCGAAGGTTCGCTCGAAGATATTACCTACGGCATTAAGTTGACCATACGCAATAAAATGACAGTAAATACAATAAAATAAAACGCCGAGGTGGAACGCCGTGTAGTTTTAATCCATTTAAGTCCAACCTACCACCTTAGATTAGTATCTACCTAGATTATACCTACGTTTTGACTGTATAAAGTTGTACAAGTTTATGTAATGTATAGGCAACAATAACGACGCACAAAACTAGATTTTCTTTTTCTTTATGTCAGAGGAGGCAGACGAGCAGACGGGTCATCTGATGGAAAGTGACCATCGCCGCCCATGAACGTCTGCAACTCAGGAGTTACAAACGCGTTACCGGCCTTTTAGGAAGGAATACGCTCTTTTCTTGAAGGTTTGAAGGTCGTATCGGTGCGGTCGATTTTGATATATTAACATACAATTACATAAAATTGGCGTATTATCTTAATAATGTATAACAATAGTTAGCAAGTAGCCACAAACGTTTGAAAATATATAAATTGCTTTTATCTATACAAATATCTTATCAACTTGGTTTTATTGCTAGAGATACTGTGTACTAGATATAATCATGGTCTTATAGTATGAAGATGTTGAAAGTTCTCTTGCTGTACAGTTCCTCTACGAGTATTATAGTTTATTTTTGAAAAAACCCTATACCAACCCTACCTACCTTTTGGCCTACTATACCACGCTGGCCAGACGGCCAGCGTGGTATAGTAGGCCAAAACCTCCTTTCTAAGGAGAGGCCTATGTTCAGAAGTGCACTAGTAAAGGTTGTTGATGTTGATTAAGATAACACATTTGCGCTAAATCCTTTACAATTACTTTCATGCTAAGTACGCAATAATAATACTTTAAATAACTATTATTGATTAATATCTGATTACAATTATATGTTTTCAGGTTGAGTGTTAAAAATGATTGTAAATTGCATAAGATTGTAGTATTTGTATGATACAATCTCTCGTAGAACAATCGAGGCGAATATTCATACTTTATACCTGTAGATCAACAGTTACGATGTATTTTAAAACGAAGGGTTTACACAGACCAACTGAGCGAGCATCGGACGGCCTTTTTTTTCAAACAGCCCAGCTCGAGTTATACGATTAGAATAGAACTGACCGAAGCCCACCCAGCCATTTGCAATAGACCGGCTGGAAGTGCATTGTTAAAGCAGATGCGTTCGGGGCCGGCCCGAGTAGGTGATCTACAAGGGCAGTGTATCTAAAGGTTCGCGCAGTCCAAGTTTCGTTTTTGATATGCATGTGCATTTAAATTGAGACATGGATAGCTCTGATTAACGTTACTATTATAATGGCGGCTATTGGAGAAGGCGGCGCGAAAGAGTATGCAATCGGAACCGGTCGGAACAAATATAAACTAATAAATATTTAATGTGCTGTCTGCTCGAACCATTCTGATATATGATTATGTAGAATACCTTAGTGAAATGATCTGGATATTACTTTTTACATAAATAATATATACAAATGATTGTGTGCAAGGCTTGTTTTGAAATTGTTCAACTAGTGTTCTATTTGAAGAATATTTAAAATATCATTACTATTTTAGATTTGAAGAAACGAGCCCTGCTGGTAATATGTGCAATCCAGACCACCTACCATGCATTGGTGGTTTTGCACGACTTGCAACAGCTGTCCGTAATGGCTTTAAAAAAGAACCGGACTCACTTCTTCTCAATGGGGGAGATAGTTTCCAAGGCACGATCTGGTACAACATGTTAAGATGGAATGTCACCCAGGAATTTATGAATATGCTGCCGCATGATGCTCACGTAAGTTTTTAAATGTAAAAGAAATAAAATTAAACAAATAATGCGGTACTTGTGATGGTTGAGCACGTTTTCAAGAAAAAAGCAAAATATGAAAAAAAAGAAAACTTTAGTGCAGACCATGTGTTTTCAAAATTTTAACGAAACGAGTATGTGTTCGACGAGGCTACGGATTAGTGGTGAAGCCAGAGGCCGTGGGTTCGATTCCCACCCAGGAAAATCATAATCGACATGAGCACAATCGTTTGTACTGTGTCTATGTCTTTATTTATATATTATATATATGTATTTAGAAATATATAATATCAGCAGTCTGGTTACTACAGTACAAGCTCTGTCTGGTTTGGGATCAAACTGCCGTGTGTGAGATGTATGAGGTGAGGTTAACTATACAGTTTTAGCAACAATCTAAACTATGTATTGTGAATAACATAGTATTGGTTTAATTAATATTATAATTAATAAAAATAATAATATCATTCAGGTATTAGGAAATCATGAATTTGACAACGGTATTGAAGGAGTTGTGCCATACCTAGAATATTTGAATAGCACAGTTGTAGCGGCCAACATTGATGATACTGATGAACCAAAAATGCATGGCTTATACAAAAATAGTACAATAATTACAAGAGGAGGTAGGAAAATTGGAATTATTGGTGTTATCATATCTATTACTAATGTAAGTACAATAAATATTGATGGAGAGGTAATACTCAATAGAAGTAACACATTTAAAAGCAAGGAAGATATTTGAAGTAACTGTATATTTGCAGACATTAGCGACTACAGGTAATTTAAGATTTAAAGATGAAGTGGAGACTGTAAAAGCAGAAGCTGAAAAACTTAACGCAGAAGGAGTCAATATTATAATTGTCTTATCACACTGTGGTATTGACATTGATAGGTGAGTTTCTGGAAGTCTATTAATTTTAGATTCAATAATTACTATGTCTTTTATTAACATTGCTAATGATTTCTTCAACAGAGAAATAGCACTTCATGCTGGTCCATACATAGATATTATAGTAGGTGGGCATAGTCACACATTATTGTTTAATGGCGAAGTACCTGAAAACACTGCTTTTGTTCCTCTTGGACCTTACCCAGTTGTTGTCAATCGGTCTTCAACGCAAAAACCAGTTAGTATTCATTTAAGAATTATATTAAAGAAGATATCAGAAACAATTATTTAATTTGTATGGTTGCCATCTCTTTCTTTTTTCCTATATAAAAAATAATAATAATAAAAGTTGAAGAGATTAGTACGTTTTAACAATCAAAGTTAAACTTGAATTTAATTATATAGAGTAATATAGTATATGTAGTATTGAATAAGCTATCACATTGTAAATATTAGAACAGCTTACGTTTTGAACTGTTTACGGACGTTTAAACTACATTAATTTACTATATAAAGACCAAAAAAACCTAGGATGGATGTATGTTTATTACTGAATCACACCAGAATGACTGAACGTACCTAGATGAACCTGTACAGGATTACATTACAATCTGGTATTACATATTGAAAAAAATGACATAAACGCGAACGGAGTGGACTAAAGTGATGGTAACAGTACATTTTAGAAAGCTACATACACACTTGTAACTATGTACATAATATATATTGTAATACCAATAACTTAATATTCCTTAAACTGGTTAAATTAAATTTGTTTAATTTTGTCCAGGTTTTGATAGTACAAGCAGGAGCGCATACAGCATACTTAGGTGAAATCAAACTCTTTTTTGACTTTGCGGGCAATCTCCTGGATTGGACAGGAAACCCCCACTTCTTGGGTAACGATATTGAACAAGGTAATTCAGCAAATTTCTCTTGACAAAATCAGCGATGTATCGTAAGGGGTCTAATAGTATAATTATTTCTATTTCATGACACTCATTTGATGAAATTAAAATTGGTGCACTCAAAACAGGTCTAATAGCACCTCAGTAACATATCTACTTTTATTCATAAAAAAAACTCTCATGTCTTCTTTTAGTTCTCATACATAATAGTATACGATCATAATTTGTACCTTAATAATTGTAAATAATAAGTTGTTTAAGCTTAAGGTAGTTCTTTTTTAGAAATATTGCTTTATTTATAAAATGTACACCAATTAATGTTTATTTATGATGCAGCTCCAGATGTTCTTGAAAGAATAGAATATTATCTGCCGTTGATTCAAGAGTTGGCTTCAGAAGTAATAGGTGTTTCGATGGTAGATATGTCTAACGACTGTAGTTGTTCAGAATGTAACCTTGGAAACTTCATCTGTGACGCTTATATGCACTCGGTAAGAATCCAAACTGTTATGATGGATGTTAAAGTTAGTATCTTTTAAAAAAAAAGTTAAAATACGCATGTCAATCTTGCTAGACGTTTTAAAACGAAAAGCACTTAAATAGAGCCGAAAATTTTATTCTGCTATCATAGAAATTCTCAGGGGAATCAATTTCTTTGCCCGGCGTGGGTTGAGCAGAGGCGAGACCTCGTGGCGGCCATCGGAGTGGGAGTTCTCTCGCTCGATAGCCTGATTGCGGCTATCGTGCGGAGCGAGAGTGCGTGGAACTCCGCCGTCTCCTTCTGCGAGCAAGTAAGGAGACGGCGGAGCGGGACCGGGAGAGGTTAAGGACTCTTCCGGCCCGCCAGGCCCGGGAACGGGCCAGGTACCGCAGGCGACTCAGGCGCCGGAGTTCGCAGAACGACCTCCGTCCTCCATAAGCGCAGGCCTGGGGGTGACAGGTGAGGCCATCTGTCACCCTAGCAGAAGCAGGCCGGGGTGGCGGCGAGCGCGTTGCGAAGCGCGCTCGCTTCCAGGGAGCACAGGGAACATAGGGTTCCCACACGGGGGGGGGGGGGGGGTCGTCTACTCGTTTGTAGATGACCCGAGGTATGTCATGGCACCAGGGACTTCCTTTCTAGGGTATACCTGGTTCTCCCCGGCTATTAGTACCAGAGACGGCGTGCGGTTTTAGTGCCGACCGATAGGTGGTATCCGAGGGGATTTCCGCACGGAAAAAAAAAAGAAGGGAATTCTTAATGTGCTGTCAAACCTTAAAGTCTAAACTATAAAAAACGATTCAAATTTACTTCGTCAGAAGAGATCAGGTGTATCTCTCGTTGTTATGTGGATGCTTAAATCTGATTTTAGTTTCATGATTACTCAATTAGTTCGAAACTGCATTACATTATCTCACTTATGAGTTTAAAATTACAGAATTGATTGCAATTATTGTTGAAGTAGGAAAGCAACAAATGCGAATTTGAATTTGTTGTGTCTCAGATATTTAGTTTATTTGTTTCCCTTTTATTGATAGCATCTCAAGTGCATTTTTAATCTTTAATTACACAACCTGTATTACGCAAATAAACAGTTTGATTTGATTTGAATTGACTTGCGAGATTTGATGTCTCAAATTTTGGATAAGAAAACGTGAGTAGGACCAGGCTGTCTAGCCTATGACTGTAAAAGCCACTAGGACATCAACTATTATGTTAATCACTGTTAAGTAATGAAACAATCACTTTATTTTCAGGTATTACATAGAGCTCAAAACAATAGCTGGCACTCGGCACATTTCTGCGTTGTTAACCGAGGCGGAATTAGAAGTCCTATAACTCATGGAGGTGAATGATTATCCTTGTTAAATTTAAATTTAGATATAATTTAATCGACTTCAATCATTCTACATCAAACTCTTAGTCAAAGTTTGATTACTAGTGTTTACTTTACATTTGCTCGCCTTTTTTATACCAACAATATTATGTAGAAGATAGATTTTTAGTAAATTTCTGTTTGAAGCTTAGCAAATCGAAGTATCTACTACCTAAAACCGCGTTTGTACGATCTTGTATTTACGTTGATGAATAGAAAAACCTGAAGTTCATGATTGGGGAAGGGATGGGTTTGTCAATACGGCTGTTCATATTTGTTTATGAAGAAACGGCAACAGTGTGACCTCGGGCCAGTCCTGTGCCTATTTATCGTCTCCTGACTCTTCTTCCAATATTATACGGGCTAAGCGCAATATGTTTTCTTCTTTAATTCTTTTGTCATCCCCATCATCCCAGCCTTTTTCCCGAACTGCACGGCATAGCTTCGATTTTTTACACGGAGCGAATCCCATCAGACCTCCATAACCCAAGTACTAGTACAAGTACTTTTTTAGGGCTCCAACTACGCGTAACGATTGCACTGAAGGATCTCAGTGTTAGGAATGGTCACCCATCCAGAGACTGACCTAGCTAAGATTGCTTAACTTTGCAATGTTCAGTTACCATTAGCTGCGAGCCCTCTCAATTCTTCTTCTTCAATTATTCTGTATTATTTATTATTTCTCTGCTTACTCCCTTTTACTTTTAGCCATATTCTATTTTTATTCATATGTGGAGTAGATTATTTACATCTTAAAAGAAATGTAGACAACTAAAGCAAATCGAAATTTCTATGTAAATATGTATCTTAAAATTACTTTTGCAGTTGTTAATTTCGGGTCTGTGATGTTGTCTACACCATTTGAAAACAGAATCGAAGTTTTCGACCTGAAAGGAAAACACGTTTTGGAAATGCTGGAGTATTCAGTTGCTAATATACCTTCTGCCGGAGCCAGGATGTTACAAACTTCAGGTAATGTCTTAATTGAATCAGGTTGGAATCTTATCTAAGTTATACTAATCAACATTTAAGATAAGGTTTGTACAAAAGGGTGATAGGATGTTTGTGAATAAAATGATAATATTCAGTGTCAAAAAATTATAAACATTAAACATTTTAGACCCAAATAACAAAAAATATTAAGGTCAAGGTACTTCTAACCGAGTGCATGAGGTTTCCGGTTTCGCCCCCCCCCCCTCCTTCCCAAACTCTATGGGGAGACGCACTCAAAAGTTGGTAACGGACATGTGGCGGTAAGGGCGACGCTAGTCACTTACCATCAGGTAACTAGTCAACTCGTTTGATCCCTGTACCATAAAAGAAACCAGTACTTTTCCTTTCAATTTTTTTTAATATATAACAAAAATACACAATAATTTTGTGACCTTCTTTCGTATTATTCAGAAATACATTTGACTTCAAAGAAACAAACTAAAGCAAATAAATAAGAAAAACTGATATCCGCCAATAAATAAGAATTACAGTATGGCAGCTGAAGGTTCCATTGCTGGCGGCCGGCGCATTGTTTTTTTACGTTGAACGATAGAAACATATATTCCAATCAACAGCCAAACCTCAATAGCAGGAAAGCCCGAAAGAAGATTATCGGCACGTGATATTATTCATTTCGCTCGATGTCTGTTACCAAAAGAGAAATCTATCTGTGAGACTATTGGTTGGAGGATTTTCAATCAAAAGCGAACTATTTTGCCAGTTCACCCTTTAGGGGGTTTTTATTTATCGAGCCTGCATTTGTAAAGAATAGGTGACAGCTTTAATAATAAAAAAATCAATCAGTTACGTGAGTTTGGTAATATCGATTTCATAAAAAAATATAACGCTATATTAAATTAACTTTAAATGAGTTCCTTGGGATCAGTGTTTAAAGTAAAACTAACTCGAGTTTTAGCAAAATGCCTACATTTAAGCATTACATCAGTATTTCTACATGGTAACATGTTATGACCTCTAAAGACGTAGGAACAGACGGCTGAAAAATTTTTTTGTACATGTTTACATTAAAAATATCAAAACGCGGTGCCATCTGAACATGGCGTAAAAGCCTGGCCAAGTGCGTGTCGAGCTATACGCTGTGTAGGGTTCGTATTTTAATTACCATCATATTAAAACAAGTTCATGTAAGCATTTCTTTTTCTCTAAACTGCTACAGATGTTGTATTATGTACTACTTTATTCAATTGAGCAAGTGAAAGACGAGGAATACTTGACTTTTACTGAAATGAGTTCTTTAAAGATTTTTTAAAGTTTTTACTGGGCAATTTGCGCAATAATCTTGTAAAAGCCATCCCACGATACAGGATAGATAAGAGACAAAACATCTTCTATTCTTTTCTTTGTTAGCTTCATTAATGTAGTGTTAAGATAACGATATCCTAATTATACAATTTATAAAGTAGTCTTGTTAAATCAGCGGAATCTTGAAGTAAGTCTTATATAAAAATCATTTCGGTGACGATTTCTGTAAGGGAATTTGGGTGAACATAAAATAACGAAAGCCACAAAATGTCAATTAAACAATTGTGTCTGCGGTTCAACTAACGCTGTCTGCAAAATTTACAATTACAGTTATTTTGCAGTCGTCCGTAATTAATTAACGAAGCTTAAATTTTAAACCGGACTGAGCAGTTTCTCTTCCAAGAAATTATTCATTAAATTTTCACTAAGCCTTCTAGTTTCTAAATAGAAGTTTGTCAAAAATAACACGGCCAATTAAATAATTTTATTACGTAAACTGTTTTATCGAATTACAGTATACACTTACGTAATAATGTCACTGATAATTGAAAGCATTATGAATCAGTTTATAGTCTACCGGATACCTCAAAAATATCCGTTTCCTAAATTCCTATTTTACCAACGTTTCTTTTCATATCGCACTTCCAATTATCCCGTCTTATTCTTGAAGTACCCTCACCTCAAATCACATCAACAGTTTTTAATAGTCCACTGCTGGCCATAGGCCTCTCCTTCGAAGTACCCAGTTATCTTTAATAAGCTTGCCTCCTATTATGTATGTGGGATTAAAACTTTAGCCGTCTATTAGTGAGCGTTTAATATGGCTCTGTTTACCCATTCGGAGACATAGGATTGATAATATACATGATAATTCGGTTGTGTGGCAATTTTATGTAAATGAAAGAGTTATAAGAGCAATATTTCATAAAATAATATCTTAATAAAGAAAGTATAGTGGTATGTGCCTTGTATTGCGAAAGAATGCTCCACCGAACAGTCCATAAAGGTCCTACGGACATTTTTTCGGACATCTGACACACAAGGCCATATAGTTTTAAACTAAGCAGAGCTTGTACCATAAAGGCTAGATTGACTAATAGATTACTTTTTTGTTAGTAGATACATAATGTACATAGAAAACACCCAAACTCCGAAACATTTATAGATCATACATACGTTGAGTCCGATCCTTGAATTGAACCTGAGCCCGCAGCAAAGCAGTTGCATACGCTACTACTACACCACGGAGGCACCAGTGTTTGAAGTTGAGCATCGAATAAATTTATTTACTAACTTTTAAACTTTCGCGATCCATGATAATTAATATTATTTTAACGGGAATTAAAGCGATCTCTTATTTAGGGTATTACATACCTCTGGTTTGCCTGACGTTTCGACCAGGTTGCACCGGCCGTGGTGTTACCGTGATCGCTTTAATTCCCGTTAAAATAATATTAATTAAAATTATTAAGTTTGATTTATACCTAATTAATATATAATTATGCTTTTCTATTCCTAGTAGACGGTTATTTAGAATATTGGATCCGCATCTCGGTATCCCAGCTACCCTCGGATATATTCAAAGTATCAAAATTTTGCCCGTTCACACAAATAAATTCAATTCTCTACAGGCTTAGGCTATCCATTATTTAGTAGTAGAATGAATAATAAAAAGTTACATAATTAGAAGGTCAGGGAAGACAAATTTCATGAAATTTATTTGAAATTTGGGTAACAATACAAAATAATTCGATGTAAAAGAATCTTCATCGTCGTTATTTTTTTTTATTATGTCTCTTACTTGTATATGTTTATATGAAATATATAATTTGATAGTTATTCTATAGGTCTGAATGATTTATGTTCGTCCTATCCGTAGGAGAGCACAATATGTGGGGCACTCGATGGGAAAAGGATGCACAGTTTCACAGAAAACCGCTTTTAAGCAATAATTCTGTTGCATTTAATCTAGTGCGGTTACCAGGGATCCTGCCCTCCCCTCTAATAATCCAAGGCTTCATGGCCTAAAATGTACTTTGGCTCTTGAGTTACTTATGTTTATGAGCGGCGGTAACTGGTTACTACTTATCATCACCGTCCCACTTACCGTCTGCTGGTTGACCCCATACCATATCATCATCATCAACAGCTTATCATAGTGAACTGCTGACCATAGGCCTCTTATTAGAAAGGAGGTTTTGGCTTATTATACCACGCTGGCCAAACGGGTTGGTCTAGGGTTTGTCTCAGGTTTCCCTGCTCTTTGCTTTGTGCTGTTGTCCTGCGTAGTTTGCGGCCTTAGTCGGCTCGGATGAATAGGGGTGGTGACACTCCGTATTCTTAATCCGTCACCACAAGGAGTATAAATACCATACTTATACCAAAAAAATACAAACACAATGATGATAATTTTTAACGCTTCCCTCACAATTCTTACTCGTCTAATATAGTTTTACAATCAGGAGCGAGTTTTATTCACCCAATCACATTATTCCTTTGTACAACTATCGAAAAATAAATTAAAATTTTCGTCACAATTACTCACAGGGTTACACGCTACATTTGATGGCTCCCTACCTGTAAACCAGCGGGTACTAGACGTCAGAGTTCGGTGTATAGAGTGTGACGTCCCCCGGTACGAGCCTCTGGACCTAGACAAATACTACAGAGTCGTAGCGCAGAGTTTTATTGGAAGCGGTGGCGATGGTTTTACTGTGAGTTTTGATAACATTAGATGATTTAAAGTATATACGAGTATATATTGTAAAGTATAGATCACGGGTTCAATCCTAAATCAGTGGGAATGATTCGTAACAATATGTCTATATACTTGTCTAAATCAGGTATCACGCCTCAAGTCCTGCGAGAGTTTATATTTGGATTTAATATAATAGAGTTTTATAGGCTGACAATTAATACTTTTTAAATATGAAAACATAAAAGCAAGAACTTAAGGTTGCTTTTTCCTTGAGCGTGAACACTACAGCCAAATTGTTTAACATTTTACAATATAAAATAACTCTTCTGTTTTAAATTACTCAAAGCACTGTTACTTTTATTTTCAATATTTACTTGAAACCCAAACAATATATTTAGTACCTATCTTATTTACTCGATTAACGTGTTTCTGATAAAGAAATATTTTTTGCAAACAAATGCAAAGAAAACATTGAACAATATTAAACTTAAAAAACTTGCTTCTAAATTATAAAGAGCAGTAGTTTTTGTTACTTTCCAGTTATTAGTTTGTTAAATTTTTGTTAGGCACAAAAACTTAAATCTAAAGTTATACAAACAGCTCGTAAAATATTTAATTTGACTGTTACGTGTATAAAGTTTGTCCAATGACTACATATTTCATAAAATAAATTTATCTACATTGTAAAAGCAACAGTCCTTAACAAAAATTGTTTTCTTTATAACAAAGCACAAAGAGTAAACGAAAAAAATTAATGAAACGAAGTATATTTTAGTTTCATTTTTAATGTTCCGACTTGTAAAAATATCTAAAAGTACTTACTTGCAGAAAAAAATATCATTTCATTTCATAAATATCATTTCATTTCATTTCAATGTAGACGACAACAAAATTTATTACGAGTACTACAAGCTGTGCTGATTGTCTTTTACAATATAATATCGCTTTTGAAGACACTGAGCGTATATAAACCTTTTAAACAGTACCTATCTTAACTTTACTAGCAAAATGTTATCCTTACATATTACGAAATGAAGTCCCCGGCCGCGTCTATCTGTCTGTATAAACGCGATAAACTCAAAAACTACTGAACGGATTTTTATACGGTTTTCACCAATAGATAGTATGATATCTAAGGAAGATTTAAGTGTATAATTCATGATAGTTTTATGTAAATTTACTGAAACAAAACAATTATTGTTGAAGAAAATAATAGAAAAGAAAATAAATATTTATGCTATATTAACCGGGCGAAAAAAGATAACGGTTAACGAAATCCACTCGGGCGAAGCTGCGGGTGGAAGCTACTTACATAAATTGTTTCATCACTATCATCATCGTTATCTCTCTCTCTCTCTCTCTCTCTCTCTCTCTCTCTCTCTCTCTCTCTCTCTCTCTATATATATATATATATATATATATTGCTACAGACCTCTGCACCATATTATTTTTCCAAATGAAGTACCTTCATCTAATATCCTGCTTCGATCGCAGCATGATTTGGTATTTCTCTGTAAAACCTAACTCTTGTCTTCTATCTATCATCTTAATTCTTACGTTTATCGTCGGCGTTGGTCACTTTCCATCAGGTGACCCATCTGCTCGTCTGCCCCCTCTAACATAAAAAAAAACCTGCTATTCCCTCTCTATTTCCTGGATCACACGCACAAAATAGTCATTATTTATTAAACCAGTCACAAATCTTTGGGCAAAAAGGATATTTTAAAACGCTCATTCTTTTACAACATGCTGTGAGATTGATATGATCTACTGTATAGCATTAAGATCCAAAAGCCATAAGTGAAACCTACAAGATAATATTAGCATGATATTGTATACATAATGTGAGATGCCGAAATTTAATCTCTCGAGAGGCATCTTCGAATAAAGTAAGATATCGTATTTTTAAACATCAGATACTGGTTAGTAATACATTTTTTAAATGTTAACCTTATGATATAGTCTCTCAGTTCATTAGTTACTAGCTGATTTGCGCAACTTCGTCTGCGTCTTTTGAAAGGAATAAATTTTCCCCGTTTTTGCAACATTCTTTATTGGTGCTCCGCTCCTATTGGCTTCCTAGAACTGAAAGAATTTTTGAAATCGGACCAGTAGTTCCTGAGATTAGCGCGTTCAAGCAAACAAACAAACAAACTCTTCTGCTTTACAATATTAACTATAGATTGTATTACATTTCTTAATATAAGAAGTATCTCTGACTATCAAGTATTTCTGACGGAGAGAAATTTGCTATCTGCATTTATTATATGCAGATAGCAAATTTCTCTCCGTCAGAAAACTATTTGTGCTCCAAGCAACCCTTAAAAAACATACTCAAGTTCCCCCACCAGATCACACAAAGCGTACAAGAAGAGTTTTATGCAGTGTGGAAAACCACAAAACTGCATTCGCCGGTCGACAATTTTATGTCAATAGTACTTTTATTTACAAAAAAATATATAAAGCTATTCCTATTAGTGGCTTAACTCCTCGCGAAGTGAAAAATAAAACAATGGCATTTTTACAAACCCTAGACTATGTACAAACTGAAGGACTACTTCAACTCCAGCAGTAAGCATATAACACCTACCTACGCATGCTCGCATACACGCACACGTACACACACACGCCCCCGCACACACACACACACACACACACCCTCATACACACGCAGCCATACACACACACACACACACACACCGCATTATATTTCTAACCTCCTAGCCTACAATCTGTCTCCTATAACAGCAGAACACTAACTCCCAAGTCACAGGAACACCTAGTTTGGGAGTTAGGGTTACTCTATTGGTGTAACCTTTAATTGTTAAGATGCTTGTACGTTTATGTGTATATGTATATAAGAAAACTGTTAAAGGTTATTTATAACAATAAAGATTATTATTATTATTATTTTTATATCATTAAAAAAATTGCTGCTGTAGGTTCAGGGTATATAATATAATCTATCGTCGAGTCAAAACCTTTCTAAATATTATAATAGGTAAACCATTTATAGCATAATTAAAAATAACAATGTTAACGAGGTTAAAAGGCTTATTAAAATATAAAGCTTTGGTAAATAAAATCTACCAATAGCTACCACTATAAAATATATGTAATGTAAAAAGATATAAAAATTATAACTATAAAAAAAACATTACTTGACTCACGTTACACACAGCTGTCTGATCCAAACATAGGTAGAGCCTGTGCATAGTAACCAGACTGCTGATGAACGTATTTCTAAATACACACATAAATAAATTACACCCTGACACAGAACAAATACTCTTAGACGGGATTCGATCCACAAACTCTGGCTTAGCAGGCCAATAGGCCAGTCGACTGAATAACCAGTCGTCCAACAACAACCGACTTCTTTACAGGATTACGAGCGGTTTTCGACGGTGCTCAACCCGTAGGACATCGCGTAATCGACGTAATTATACGATGCATAGAATGCGATGTACGAACCTTTGCTTCTCGATAAATATTACAGAGTTGTTACAACCGATTTTATAGGGAATGGAGGCGGAGAGTTCACCGTGAGTTAAAAAGATCATGTTAAAGGAATAAAATGTTTGTTATTTTGTCTTTAAAAGTAAACCCCACCAAAAAGCAAAAGGGGCTTTGTTTTGTGTCTATTCATAAAAACTCGGTGCTACGAGTGAAAACATTAAAGAAAATATTGTTTGTTTTTAAAATAATATTGTCAGCCTATAAAAACAAGTCTGTCTTGAGCATTTGCCATTATATAAGATTTATTCAGAATTCTCTTTATTTCGATATATTCTTTTTAATAGAAGCGTTCTGAAACATTCATTAATAATAGGAGGCTTTTAAATAGAAAAAAAAAGCTTTAAAGAAGAGATCCTACTGTTTCTTTTAAATGTTTTATCATACTGGCCATTTTAAATACTCTGTCTACGTAAAAAAGCAATATTATTTTATTTAATGTGTATTATATACACATTATATAATAATAAATAATAAAAAAAGAAAAAGACTTACATTTTGTTTTTTTCTCTATTTTTTCCAGAGACAAACGGCAAAAGGAACAGGAAACAGTATTACGATAATTGTAATTGTCATTTCGTCCCGATAAACTTGTCTCATTTGATAATATAAACATCTACATTTCAGATGATAAGTGAGAATCGCATCAATGTTGATGTAACTGGCGTGGACTACGAAGTGTTGATGGACTACATACGTCACCAAACACCCGTATTTGCGCAGACGGAGGGGCGTGTGCAAATTTCTAATCCGTGTTTGGTATAAAAGCATTTTAAGTAGAAAATAGAACGTGTACTTCAATTTGTAAATGAAAATAAAATAAAAATTTGTTGTAAATATTTATTACATTCATTATAAATTGTTTTATTTACGCTGTTCAGTTTTTAAAATATTTCAGTAAATAGAATTTATTTTTTAATCATACGTCATCATCATCATGATTACCAACAGCTTTTAATGGTTCACTGCTGGACATACGCCTCGTCCTAGAAATTAGGTTTTGAGCTGCTATACCACGAGTTATAACTTAGAATTAACGATTATAGCGATAATCGTTGTTTTTATATTACTCATTCTACAATTCAATCTAATCTAATACACACATACTAATATAATAAAACTGAGAAGTTATGCTATCAGCCGGTAAACCAAGATTTTTAGGACCGGATCAGTAATCAATAAGTATAAGTATCTGTGAAACTGCGAAGAACAAAAGAGAAATGTTAGAACAAACCTAATAAAACATAATTATGTGTCCTAATTAAAGAAAGCTTGTGCAAATATCTTGAAAGGATTCTTTGAAAATAAAGAATCATGAAATATGGTAACGACAGGTTGAAGAATAAATTAACTTCAAATTAATTGCCATTATAAATTATTCAGTGAAATGATCACTGTTAAGTGAGAAAAGAACAGTTTAGACACGACCTGAGGATCGCCATTCATCTTACTTGAAAAAGTAACTTTAATGGAAGCGAATAATTGTCATGTTCCGAATAAATCTTTTTGGCCTTTTTTTACGTGAAGAAACCCGGGCCGTCACCCCACCGGGGTTTACAGTGAGGCGGTGTGTCGGAATCGGACCGACTAAAACCACACGGTGTGCCACTCTTCGTCTGAAATAGAAGGGGTCCTAGCTTGTCAGTAAGAAATCCGGACCGGGCACAAATGTGCTGGTTTGATCTCAGTAATACCACGGCGTCTCAGGAAACTCGTGTCAATCAATTCCTTAGTTGCTGTTCACCATCTGAGTGAAGTTACCGGAGACCCCATGTCACCCCTTATTGCCCCGTACACAAATCGTGGTCTCGCCCTTGGACTTACCAGCTGGGAATCAGTCTGTTCTTTGCCCCTCTATTAAGTACATAACAAAATAAACTATTTAAGTTACGATGACCGCTTCGGTAGTGCAGTGGGAGTGTATGTGATTGCTGTGCTGAGATCTTGGGTTCGATTCCCGGGTCGGACCAAATGTTTGTATGATCTGCAAATATTTGTTTCAGAGGTGTTGTCTATGTATAATATGTATGTATTTACAAAAAAAAACTATATACCTATTTATTTTATCAGTCAATCTAGCTATCATAATACAAGCTCTGCTTAGTTTAAAACTAAATGACGTTTTATGTGAGATGCCCAATATAATAAAAATAAAAAATAATTGACATTTGTGCGAGTGTGTTGTTATCTGTATCTATCATGCATGGCGATTTTGAAAAATTAATTGAAAATTTGTTTTTTAACACTAAACATATTCTTCCAAACCAGGAATAGTTTTTAAAATGCCAAAGTGACTTGTTAGAATCACAACTAAGCTTCTCAGTTACAATTTTGCCAATCCTTACATTATTTATGAAAATGTTATAAATATTTCTATACAGATATTAATATACCCATGTAAACTATTGGCAATTTGTCTTATTAACATAACTTCTTAGTCAGCAAACTACAGTAAATAACTGAAACTGAAACTAAATTTGATGTGCAAATTATCTAAATAGACTTATATTCTTAGTTAGATTGAATTGTGCAAAACTGTTTGTTTGTTTTAACTTTTATTTGAACAAAATAGATCGATCACGTAATAATAGCACAGATGGCGTAGTGGTTTAAGCGGCCACCTCGCTGCTGGTCCGATTCCTACATGAGACGACACTTTGTGTGATATACAAATTTTTGTTCTGAGTCTGGGTGTATTTTGTGTCCGTTTCATGTATGTTTGTGAAGTCCCCCGCGACACAGGATATATTCGTAATTCGAGTCGTCTTTTCAAAACACAATAATTTAATAATAATTATTGTCACATTAGTTAGGACTTCGATCCAAACTTGTTTAATAAAAATGTGAAAGTGAGTTTATTTGCTTGTTTATTACGCATTCACGCCTTTTTTAAAGGTTTACTAGCAACCGAAATTACTAGTATTCCCGTTAACCCCTCCAGCTAAGCTAAATTGCTTGTGTTAGGCTAGCTAAGCTCAATAAAGCGCAGCATACTAAAGAAATATATCAGAACCGGCATGTCCCAACCAAAAACACTGCACGGATGGCGGAGTGGTTTAAGCGGTCGCCACGCCGCTTCCTACTACGCCAAGTGTTGTGGGTTCAAACCCCACATGGGACGACACTTTGTGTGATCCACAAATTGTTGTTCTGAGTCTGGGTGTTCTTTGTGTCCGTTTCATGTATGTTTGTAAAGTCCCCCGCGACACAGGATATATATTCCTAATGCGGGAGTTGTCTTTAAAAAAAAAAATAAAAAAAAAAAAAAATAAAAAAAAAAAATATCCGTTTCATGTATGTTTGTAAAATTCCCTGGATTCCTAAGGATTCCTAAGGAGTTGTCTTTTTAAAAAGAATAACAATTTTAGGCTTGACCTTGCTGCCCCCCGATAAAAAACTTATTATTATTATTGACATGGACTCCGAAAGTGTTAACTCTGACCTATCACCGACAGCAGCGGAGAGATCACAGCCCCAAGATTCTTCGAAGTCTCCGGGTGTGACGATCTTCACTTCGGAACAGGTAGTGGATCTCCTAAACTCCATGACGAAAAAATCACTTTGGTAGTATAATCTTAACACATTGAGACTCATTCGCGCCTTGGGGAGCACGTTAAAACCATCGGTAACGGTACAACGGTCTGATGGTAGTCGCTTTGCGTTAAAAAATTAAATTCAGCCGCATCGTAATAGACTTAAAACCGACTCCTACCTATTTTGGTAAAGAGGCTCGGAGTAAAAGTCTATCAGGTATCATTGGACTGCCAACCGTAGCAAGCCATTCGACCTCTCACCAGGGTTGAATGGTGTCAGACAAAAGTCATGATGATGGCGCAAGACTGCAGTCTCCGCGGACAAAGTCTAGAGGGACTTGTCAGAGCACAGCACTTGTCGCAGCAGTAGCAGCCCGTATTTTAAAAGTTGTCTCAGTCGTGAATCTAGTCTTCTAGACTTTAAGTAGAGATTTTATTATTGAACGTCACTTAAAACGAGATTCGACACTCCATACTCAAGTGAGTGATAGCTTATTTTAGAACGATGTTTATGTCGAAATCATTACTCAGCTGTGATCTTTGTTTACGTGAGACAAGCTGAAACTAGTCCCAAGCGGTGATTTCTAGGGCATTTAGGGAAAATGAATGTGTTTTACGATGATTTATTTTTGAATAATTACGAAAGATTAACTTTAATTTAATTACGAAAGAATTACTTGGCATACTATAATCAATTTCACTTTCATTTACCTTAATTGATATGAAATTCACCAAAATTCACATTTTACACACACAATACCAGTTTAAATTACCACAACCTTTTGGTTTATGTTAAAAGCATAGTAATATAAATTTTAGAAATATCAAATAAAAACATCGTTTGACATTTCAACATGACAAGTGTTGATAAATAACTTGAACGTTCCGTTATAGCCTATTCATACAGCTAGTCATTTTTATTTTAATATTTATTATACTTAATTTTGAACGAACAACAAGCTTGTTAATATGTTAACATTGCTACACTAGCCAATAGTATATTATATACAAATTCACAGAAATTATTTTTGTAAAAGAATATTTTTTTTTTTAATAATTAGCTGCGTAATGCGCGGAAACGTAATTGAGAACAGACTGTAAGTTCAAATCAATACTTGAAACTAGTTTCAACTGAGTAAAACTGAAAACGCGTTCTATAATAAGATCGATACTTAAGATTTGATCTGCACTTAAAACTAGTTTCAGGCAATCAGAGTTCAACCGACACTTGAGACGTCTTTTAAAATACGGGCCGAAGACTGCTGCGACAAGTGCTGTGCTCTGACAAGTCCCTCTAGACTTTGTCCGCGGAGACTGCGGTCTTGCGCCATCATCATGAGTTTTGTCTGACACCATTCAACCCTGGTGAGAGGTCGAATGGCTTGCTACGGTGTGCAGTCCAATGATACCTGATAGACTTTTACTCCGAGCCTCTTTACCAAAATAGGTAGGAGACGCTGTTAAGTCTATTACGATACGGCTGAATTTAATTTTTTAACGCAAAGCGACTACCATCAGACCGTTGTACCGTTACCGATGGTTTTAACGTGCTCCCCGAGCCGCGAATGAGTCTCAATGTGTTAAGATTATACTACCATAGTATTTTTCAGACCTTACCCATCATATATGCAGTTACTGTAATACTTTGTAGACCTGATTTTGACCTGGATTTCAAGCTATTTGCTTTTAGTATAAGTAATTAAGAAAAAGGTACCCTTGTGTTTTCTCTACATTGCGAATCCGTTTTGTTTTAAAGTCAGAATTTTCTCCTTTACAAATACTGCTTTTACTAAACAAAGCAAAGAATAAATGTTTGTAATTAAAGCCCATCAAAGCAATTTGTCGTGTTGCAGTATATAAAAGGAAACTTATTATAAAACGGACGGTATTTACGCAAAATAAATACAAGAAGTAGGTTCTTCGGAGTCTGGAAAATATTTGAAGAAGCAATTTTCACAGACCGGGAGAACAATTACCAGATTTCTTTCAGCACTACGGCGATGTTTTACAAACAAAATAAAAAAATTATAATGAGAAATATGAAGCTTTCTTAAGTAAATATTATTTTAATTTTTTGAATAAAAAATGAATGAATAAATTTTTTTGAATAAATTGTTAAAAGTGCTGTATTCAAAGTATAGTGTTCATTCATTATTCAAAAGTATTAATGATAAGTGTTTGAAATGCGCAAGTGCCTCGGATTAAATAAAGCATTAATCGCCACTTCACTAC